TGGCTCCACCGCCGAGCATGGTGGAACCTCCCATCAAGGTGGGCTCGTTACCACCACCGACCTAGGCCCAATCTTGGAGCAACTTCAAGCGTTCCCTCCGTTGCATCCACGCTCGACGCACGCTCCCGCGTACACCTCCCATGAAACCCTAGCCCGTATGCAGTTGGGCACCACACACTTCTCTCTTCCCGATCCACGAAGTCAAGCAGACCTTAATCAGAGAGTTGACCAGCTAGCTCAGAAAGTTGGGCAGCTCCTCAACCAAATCAATCTAGCTCAAAACCTTGGCCTTGGACCACTGGGCGAAGAGAGAAGGATGGACGACTGCGACAACAGGTAGATCGACAGGCGCCGAGCAGGTCAAGCAGGCATGAGCAGACAAGGAAAGGGACAACAACGTGATCAGCTCGCCAACATGTCACAAGCATCCGCAAGCCACACTCAGAGCAACATGCGACGAAGGCAGGGCCCACGACTCCACGTCCGCGACCGTCTAGGCCCGCAGAGGAATGCTCCTCAAGGGCTAGGCTCCCATAGAGGTTAACCTGACAACCTTCACGGTGAGGATCGCGAGGAAAGGCGCTCCGCTGCTCACTCTCGAAGAACCGATTCTCGTCGACAAGCTACGGAGGATCACTCGCAAGCGCAGTCCACCAACACGCCGCCTAGGCAACGCAGCCGAGAAGCTCGAACCTTGCGAATCAACGAGGAGGTCAATCAACGTCGCCCAGATTGCGAGGGTCATCGACGTGTCCAACCAACAATGTGCGCAGAAGACGTCAAGAAGCTTGTGAATGACCAACTTCGAGACTTGAAGGCCGGCGGGAACTTCGATGACGCCCTACTCAAGGAGATGGACCAAGCGAACTCCACTCCTTTCACTGTCGAAATTGAGCAGGCGGCTCCCCCGAAGCGTTTCTCGACGCCTTCGTTTACGCCCTTCAAGGGAGACTCCGATCCCGAGAGCCACCTAAAACACTTCAAAAGTGTCATGATCCTCCACAAGGCCGACGACGCGTTGATGTGCAAGGTGTTTGTGATGACCTTGCGGGGAGCAGCTCAGGACTGGTTCCATACCCTACCATCCGGGTCAATCAGCAACTTCAAGGAGCTGGCATACGTCTTCGCCAAAGAATACACGTCTTACCGGACAATCAAGAATAATCCCAACCACCTGTTCAACCTACGTAAGAAGTCAGACGAATCCCTTCGAGACTACATCAAGAGATTCAAAGCAGAAAAGGCCAATATTGTAGGATGTGATGACCAGATCCCGTCCTCTGCCTTCAAGAGAGGCTTGCCAACTGAGTGTGAGCTGTATCGTGAGCTGACCATCTCTCCCTGCCAAACACTGGAAGAAGTCTTCGTGACAGCAGAGCGCTACGCACTTTGGGACGATGACCGGATCGCTGCAAAGAAGGCTGCCAAGCAAGCCGATCAACCGGTTGAGCAGGCAAGCCAAAGGAACGGCAGGATAAATGACAAAGATGGAGGCAAGCACGGATTACAACCTCATAGAGGTGCCCCAGCAACCGAGAGCTATACCGAGTTCACTATCTCGATAAACCAGATCCTGGCCCAAGTAAAGAACATGCCTTGGTTGAAGAAACCATCGCCTTTGAAGGGAAACCCAGCCAAGAAGGATACCATTAGATACTGCGAATTCCATGAAGGGCACGGTCATTACACAAAGGACTGCTTCGCCTGGAAAAGGCACCTCGAAGAGCTGGTCGTCTCCGGACGTAGGCCAAACGGGCCACTCTCAACGACACGTCTCCGGACGTAGGCCAAACGGGCCACTCTCATCGACACGTCTCCGGACGTAGGCCAAATGGGCCACTCGCATCGACACGTCTCCGGACGTAGGCCAAACGGGCCACTCTCATCGACACGTCTCCGGACGTAGGCCAAATGGGCCACTCGCATCGACACGTCTCCGGACGTAGGCCAAACGGGCCACTCTTATCGACACGTCTCCGAACGTAGCCCAAACGGGCCACACTGATCGACACGTCTCCGGACGTAGGCCAAACGGGCCACTCTTATCGACACGTCTCCGAACGTAGCCCAAACGGGCCACACTGATCGACACGTCTCCGGACGTAGGCCAAACGGGCCACTCTTATCGACACGTCTCCGAACGTAGCCCAAACGGGCCACACTCATCGACACGTCTCCGGACGTAGGCCAAACGGGCCACTCTCATCGACACGTCTCCGGACGTAGGCCAAACAGGCCACACTCATCGACACGTCTCCGGACGTAGGCCAAATGGGCCACTCGCATCGACACGTCTCCGGACGTAGGCCAAACGAGCCACTCTCATCGACACGTCTCTGGACGTAGGCCAAACGGGCCACTCTCATCTACATGTCTTTGGACATAGGCAAAACAAGCCCGGAGTCCCTTAAGGGGGACCCTGGCCCTCGCCAATTTCCTAAGGGAAAACATATTACGGGATGCGAAGAACACGCTCGGAGTCCCTTAAGGGGGACCCTGGCCCTCGCCAATTTCCTACGCCCGGAGTCCCTCAAGGGGGACCCTAGCCCTCGCCAATTTCCTAAGGGAAAACATCTTACGGGATGCGCAGAACACACACAGAGTCCCTTAAAGGGGACCCTGGCAATCATAAAATCTCCAAAAGAAGATGCGCAATCAAAATACAGGCTGGTTACTCAAGCAGTCCACAAGTCAATATGCCAATTGAAGTTGAAAAAATAACTGAAATAGCAAGCTGACCAATCGGCCAAGTTCAACAAAAGGAAGATGGTCGAATAAGGCCAATTATTCTAAACAAGAAAGCAGACTACAAGGTGAAAAGAAATAAAGGAGTCTTCATTTACTTTGGGACGCCAACAGGAGATCCCTGATCTACAGCCTCTTCGGCATCCGCTTGATCAGCCACGTTCTCGGCAGCTCCACCTGCTTGATCTGCGACATCTGCCACTACCTCATCTGCTGCATCCTCCTCTACTTCATCCTCTTCAGCTACCGCCTCTTCGGCTGCCTGCTCTTCAGCTCCTTCCATGTTCACAGCATTAACCTGCTCACTTTGCACATGGAGCAAGTCAGAACAGAGCATCTCAATGTCTCCATCTCTAATGCAGACTTGTTATAGGCGCCAAACTTAGCAAGAAGCTTGTCATAACCAAATGAGACGTCAACATTCTTGCGCTCAAGACGGAAGTAGGCACCTTTTTGACTAACCAAGTCACCAGCAGAAGAGGGGGCAACAGTAGATGAGTTTCAGATATTTTCAGCAGCAAAAACTAATCCTTTCTTTTAGGCAAATGGAGTGTCGCTTCCCTTTGTTTTTCCAAGGAAAGACTCGAGAGGATGCCAAGTTCGCCGGCCTGGCGGACGTGGTTAACCAATTCAGCACAAGTGGACGGGCTTGACAGAAAGTTCATCTTGAGCAGATTAGACACGCATGCACCTCCTGTGGGATTGGGCTTGTCAACCTTGGGACCAACAGCTGACGTTGCAGAAGAACCCTTCACCCGGGCAGATGACTCTCTCATCTTCTTAGCCTCTGCCAACCTCGCCTCCAAAGAAGTCCATGAGGCAGAATCAACTCCACTCTTGACTGCCCGTGTCTCAACAACCGAGCCATGAGCAGACCTCCCGCTTCGATCTCCATCCTTTGACTGATACAGACGAGTCGAACTACGAAGAGGAATATCTGCATCTCTTTGACGCTCGGTAGAACGGGATTGGGCACGAACTACCTCACGAAGCAGATCATGATTTTCAAGCTTGTCAGCAGGAGGCTCGGATGATGATGGAACAAACCCCACTTGAGTTTTCCCAACAGAATTGGACTTTGGCTTCATCCTCAGTAGAGACACATCATTCGCAAGCGAAGTCGCAACTCCATTTCTAGAAGACTTGACGTCAGCCTTACTTTGGGCAGATCATCAGAATCTGGACCATTCTGCTTCCATCTCTCAACATCCTGTGCAAGGGGCAGACCACCAACTTCCTCCCGATACTTGCCCAGCTGACAGGCCCGCAACGCATGAGGCCAAGCATGCTTCAGCCCAGACCTGCGACGATAAGCAATAGCTGGTCCACCTGCGTGCACCTGCTCTACCACGACTGCCGCCCACTATCAGCTGTCGCCTGTCACGACGACAACTAGCCGGACTTCCCCCAGCTAGCCTTCGCAGCAAAAAAGAAGAAAAGACGAAGAAAAAGAAATATACGTGCTCGACGTACCTTTGGATGCACGACAACTCCTCTCTTCGACAAGCAGTACAAATTCTCCAAGATCTCTCTCAAGCTAGAAAGTAGAGAAGTTAAGTTTGCGATGTGACGAAGAGTGAAGAGAAGCCCTACATTTACACAGGTTGGGCATCCTAGGTCAAGAAGGAATCGCAAGCCCATTCCTACTGGGAACCCAACTCCAAGAACAGTCAAAAGCTCACTCCAATTGGGAACCCAATCTGCAAAATGAGTCCAACTCACTGAAGGAAGCCCCGTTACAGCTGGACAGCCCAACAGATAATTTACATCTCCTACATGCCACCACGCGCCATGCAGAAGCTGGGGGGCATTTGTGGGAACCGAATTAATTCATAACCCTAGGTCAAATAATTCCTTCCATTTGGGGATTATTTGACCTAATTAGGAATTATTCAATTTAATTGGGGATTACCCAATTAAATAGAAGGTTACCTAATTAGGTTAAGGATTGATTTGATTCCTACGGATATTCTCAATTAATGGAGGAGTTACCTAATTAAATTAGGTATTGATTTGATTGCTACCCTGATTAGGGATTTGATTTAAATCAAATAAATCAAATCCCTAATTAGTCAAATCTCGCCAAATTGGGGAGGAACAATTCCCTTCCATCTACGGAATTATTCCTCTGAAACCCTAGCTCCCGAGACCTCTATAAAAGGATGGCCACATACAAGGGTTGAGGTACGTCTAAACTTCTACTGAAACTCTGCAGAAATTATCTCTCAGAAACCCTAGCTACCTCCTTTCTCTCCCTCTTTTACATAAGGCTCCGGCCGCCCGGTTTATCCCAAAAAACACACATAACTCCGTACCCTAATTAGATAGTGTTTTCTTTACAAAACTCTTGACCTAATTTAGGCATCGGAGGGCCTTTGGCCAACACCCCCTGGGTGTGGTCCTCTTATTGCTATTCGTTTTGCAGGGAGAAAGAGAGGCGGAGAAGAAGAAGGAATCTTTAAGCGAATATTCCCGTGGGAGGAAATTTGCTCCCACAATTACGATGATATGGATTGTTAACCGGTGGCGGTTCCTCAAGTTCTTCTTCGGACTCCGACTCGCTCTTTGGAACACGTTGTCTCGTATTATTTCTTCCATTGTCATTTGTGTCTTCTCTTCTATTGTTGTCTTTGTCTTCTCTCCTATTGTTTCCACCAATAGCTTGTAACAACAACTCATGCATCTCCCCAAGTTGATTGGCTAAATTGTCGATTTGTACGTTTTGAGCGTCCAAATCCGCTCGAGTAATTGGGATACCAGTTTCACGATCACCCATGATAAGCCAATAATACAAATACGGGAGGGACCCGCTCTGATACCACTTGACGCAGCACAAGAAAATAGATTTTCAAGCGAAAATCCTAAAGAACGATAATCTGGAATCCACCAGGAAATTAGAGAGAAAATTCTCTTTGAATTATTTGATAAAAGTCGAGATGATCTCAACCAAGCATGACAGCTGATTAAATACAACGTTCTCCCCCTTTGGACTGCCCTGGGGAGTTATTGAAAAAGTAACAGAAAAGAAACGGAAAGTCTTTAAATTGAATACAATTTTTAAATGCACTTTTGGAAGGCCAAACGACCTCAGAAGCCCAAAAGCCACCATAGGTCACAACTAAGCTGTGAGTTGGACTCGTGACGATGTTCCCTTTTCGAGAAGGTATTATGCGACCCAATCAGAGCTTGGACACCAAATATGTAAATTCCTGATGTGTCCCTTTTCCCTTCTTCGCTCCAATTCTTCTTCAATCCATTCAGCCATTTGTTCTACATCAGCAACACTCAAATGTCATCCTCCAGCCTTCACCGTCAACTTTAAAGATCTTATGCCTATACATATAGAGGTTCAACAGCAGCACAAGGGGACTCCTCCAAAATCAGACGCAACATCTTGTAAACACTTGAACAAAACTTCAAGATTTCCAAATAGTCAACTTCCTACCTAGATAACTAGTTGACAACTCCTGCGTTTATCTTTTATTGCTCTGTCATCTCCATGGTATGATTCTTGTTTAAACAATCAGTTTAGTTTCTTCTAAATAGTAGAAACTTGTGTAGATTGTAGGGGTGGTTGCGGTTCGGTTACCGTGTTTTTTTGGCCAAACCGCAAACCGACCAACTATTTGTGGTTTGGTGTTTTTTGAAACCGTAAACCGACCGCGTTTTGCGGTAAACCGTATTGCGGTAAAACTGCAAATTCGGTTAGTTACCGTGAATTAATGGTTTAAACCGATTGAGATATTTTGGGCCTAAATTATACAGTTTTAAGTCTTTTAAGTTGGGCGTTTTTGTGTCATAAAAATCCAATCTTCCATACTTTTGAAGCCTAGTTTTGAAGCTTCTTTTGAAGCCTTTTGAGTCCAATTTTCCATAGAGTCAGTTAACGTTTTAGGAAATAACTAAAAGGAAAACCATACAGTCACATTGCTAGATTCATCTCCAGTTACCTTGCATGCCATGCTCATAGCTTATTTAAAGGTCTCTAAAGGTACCAATGGTTCTAAGCCCAAGTAGTGAGAATATTGGAATAAAATAAATAGACCAACACATATAACACACCCAACACATTCTCAAATTGGAATAAAATAAATAGAACATAAAACACACCAACTTAGCCAAATTAATTATTAGCAAACAAATTTTAAAGGGTAAATAACATAATAATTACGTACTTATCAATTAGATTAGGTATGATCATAGCCGTTAGATTATCTAACAGCTATCAATTAATTAAAAAAAAAAAAATTTATTATTAATTTAAAAATGTTTGCGGTTTGCGGTAACCGCAAACTTGGAATTTTCCAAACCGGCACCGCAATCGCAATTGCGGTGTGGTTCCTCAAACCGCAAATTGCGGTCGGTTTTCCCCCTTGTTTGGTTCAAATGAGGTAATATCTCGGTTGGTTTGCGGTTTTTCAGTTTTTCGGTCTAAAATGCCACCCCTATTAGATTGGATAGAGAAATCTCAAATCTCTCCAAGATTGTAATTTGTTTTTTAAAAACAGCAAAATGGAGAAATCTTTGGCTTTTGTTTCAACTTGTTATCATACTGGATTTAGATAGAGAAATCTCCAACATCTGGAACCTTTTTCTTTCCAAAGTTTACTTTAGTTGCACTTTAAATACCTGTCATTTACCTACTTCATATCCTCTCTTGTAGTAATTTACTTTCCCACTTTTATATATTTGAATTTTTCATTTGACAGGCCAAGAATAAGGGTTTTAAGAGGCTTCCCTAGCCTGAAAACAAGGGCTCATTCAGGCCCGAGTTATACCATTGGTCCCTAATTAATTAAATATTAGCCCAATACAGGGTTACCGTGGGCCTAAATTAGGTTTGTGAACCCAATCAACGGAACATTAACCTTAACATTGGTTTTTTTGTGTGGTTAGGTACTGCTCGCATTTACCAAGCCATAAACGCACGATTGAAAGAAAATTGAAGTCCTCTTAATTGAGGCATAGAAAAAAAATATGATCAATCACACTCAAGCATGAAATGTTCAACTCTAATAATTTAACTAATAAACAGAGAACAATATAACATCTGGATTTTGAACATATTTTTCCCTTCAAATATAATCACATAAAACTAAACTAAACATTCAGTTCTCATCCTCTAAACATTCAATGCTTGTATAAAATAAAATAAAAACATTCAAATCAACTTAAAATATAAAAAAGTTAAGAAAACTAACAAAACATATTGACAGAATATGGTGGTTAATTTATTAACATGAAGAAGATAGTGAGTGAGTAAAATTGTCGAACCAAGGTGGTTAGTGTGAGTGGTTCGGCACTCTCATTCCTTAAGAGAGGTCAGGGGTTCGATCCCTGCTCTCGTATGGAGTCACCACTTTGGCCAGCACTTTACCCCTTACGGGCCAATCCGTTGTGAGCGGGGATTAGTCTGGGTTGTGGTTAAGGCTTAAAGGTGCCACCCATAGTTGGGGCCCATTCAGGACCATCTCGTGGTTCAGACAAAAAAAAAAAGAAAAAGAGGAAAAGAATGAGAAAAAACAAAGGAAAGTTTTGATACCTCTTCAAAAATCCAAATTGCAAAATTTCAAGTAGCACAACCTTTCATTCAATTGTGCTCTCTTCAAGATGGCCAAGACCCATAAAAGAAATACCATTTCGACTGAAAAAAAAAGATAGAAGAAATACCAGTTCCTTTTTAAAAGTATTTTTTTCACTTTGGCTTTGATTGCTGATTGAAACCCACAAATTGACGAATCAATCACTTTGGGCATTGGGATTGACCCGGCCTTTTCCTCTCTCCCGCTTCATTCCCAAAAGAATCACCAAGAAAGAAAAAGAAAGAGACCATCAGGCTACTACTAACGACGACGTTGATCATGAAGATAACCTTCGAAAGCAGAGGCATATTGATATTGGTATTCAAGGGGAGCAACCATCCACTTCAGACGACAATCAATGATTTGTTTAGATGGGTACGTAATTTACTTTCGTTCAAATAAATAAATACTTTTTCTTTCTCGACACAAGTTTAACTTTTATTTCTTTTTCTTTTTTGTATGTTGTTGTTCTAGAAATTGGCGTTCTCAAGATCGTGCTGCTTTTGGTTTCCAAAATTGATTGTTGAGTTGAGTTGATTTTTCACTTTGGCTTTGATTGCTGATTGAAACCCACAAATTGACGAATCAATCACTTTGATTTTGCTCAACAGGTTATCAATTCTTAAATTATTATTATGTTCATTTGACTTTTTATTGGAAAGGAGGAGAAATGGTTTTGGTTTCCAACGCATGACTTAATGTTGAGTGTCTATTTAGTTTCTTCTCTCTTTTTTCTCTTCTTTTTTTTTTCCTTTTTCTATGAAAAATTTGCGCCCCATTGTATTTTGGCCCCGGGCTGTGGCCCTGGTCGCCCTAAGCCAGGGCCAGCTCTGTATGTGATGAACTCTCTATTGAATTGCAATAGGCTAACTATGAGACCCACATGCCAATAAACTGAAGCTATTGAACTGTACCATTGTAAGTAAAACCGCAATTCAATTTAATAGATGCCAAAATAGTTCAAACAATATACTGGCAAACTTAGATTACTTATCTCTTTTCTTTTCTTTTTCCTGCAAAAAAGAGTTCAATACCCAAAAGAATCATTACATGTTCCCTCTACTATTAGCTCAACCAGATGAACTGTACAAGTGGGAAGGGGAGGACCCATTACAATTCCAAAATCACTGAAATATGGGAATTCCATGACAAAAAGAAAAAGAAAAAGAAAAGAGAAGCTGCTCAAGAAGAAAAAGTTTCAACTATAGAATATTATATTCTTCACTAAATTAAAGACCATCTATTTCTCAGTTCCATCATGTTATTGTATTTATTTATTTTTCAAAATGGAACGGTAAGTTTAGGTATTTTTTCTTTTTAATGTTTTCCCTTTTATTTACAGCCGATCCAACGGCTGTGTTTTTGGGGGATTTTTCTTTTTAATGTTTTCCCTTATAAATACCCGCCACATTTCTTCTCCACCAAATACATTTACAGAAAATAAAATAATAAAAAGGAAAATTAGCACATTAGCTAAATTACAACATAAAACATTATTAGGGCCTCAAATGTAAAATGCATATACAGCCGATCACATGCTAGTCACGTGGGCTTTTTTAAAAACAAGTGAAACTGGTTGTTTTGGTTAACCGGTTAAAATATGGAAAAAAAATCACCCCTTCAACACCTAGGACGCGTACTCCATTGCGTCTATCTCCTCCTCCACAATTCTGCACAGCCACAGCTCTATTTCGTCGAAATCACAGTTGCGCAGCTTTCCATAGCCTGAAGAAGTCCCCCCACTTCCTCTTCTCCATCTAAAGAGCAGATTTCAGCCAAAACCCAGAAACCCACTTCGTCTTCTCCAGCTGCTTCCTCCATCTCGGGAAGTTCGTGTGTTGATTTCATTTTACAATCAAGAAGACACTGTTACTAATCGGTTAAGGGTGTGTGCTTTCAGTTCTCTTTATGCCAGTTTTGGTTTCTAAGAGTTTGAGGAGAAACTAAGGAGATGAGAATTGAACTTTACGGTTTCTGTTTCTGTAGTTTCTTAAAAACGAAATCATCAAGTCACTGAAAATAGCAGAGTATGATACGTTTGGAATGTTATTCCTTTCTTTTACTTTGTTTCTTGGAATTTAAAATTAAAATGAAATTATCTGTGATTGCATCTTTTATTCCTTAATTATACAAACCTATGTCTTAACTTGTGTGATAGTGTTTTTAGAATGGAGTGAGGGGACTGATGTTGGATGTGTACGATTTCGAGAACGATATTTGGCTTTGCCATTCTTTTCGGGGGCAATGTTTCAACTTCACTGCATTTGTAATCTCTCTTCCATCTTGTCAACTTAACACTTATTCTTCTTTTGTGTGGATTTTTCACGGTGTGGCTGTAAATGGAATTTTGGGTTTTGCCAATTATTTGTTCCTTTTAAAATTTAATATGTGGTTTACAATTTTGGCTGTAAATGAGAATTTGGTAGATTATTGTGTAGTTGATTGAAGAAGTTAGAAAATTAAAGTTATGCGCTTAACGAACTGCTCTATTTTTGCCTTTCAGAAACTTGCTGCTCTAGGTAAACATCGATTTGTCTTCCCTCTTTGTGCCAAATGATAGACAACTCCAATTTTGCCGCATATATTTTTATTTTGTGTTATGATTGTTAGTAAGTAATCTCAGTCAGCCAACCAGCTTTCATTTTTGTTTTTTGGTAATTAAATCAAGGATTTTGTTATCATGTTTGTATGATGTGAGTGAGGTGATTTTTGGTGCTGTAAATTGCTACTCACTAGTGATTTTGAATTGTTGTTTCCGTTTTTTCACTGGTACAAAGTTAGCTTCATTGGTGCTCTCTGCTCTCTAACTGTTCATGAACTTCACTGTTTAGTTTGGTCTCTACCCTGATTGCATGTTAACAATTCCAGAAATTAATTATTCAAATTTTGTATTTCTTTTCCCACTATGCGTTTCTGGGTTGTTATAATGCCTCTGGATCTGATTATATATAAATACCCATGAGGCCTTTGATTGTGTATGATTTAATTGTGGTGGGAACTTCACACAGGACTTGGCAAGCAAGTCGATGTTTCAGTAATTTGTTGGTTATCTGAAGCCTGTATTGCAAGCATTAGTGCCTGGTATGAAGCACTCGTTTCAATCTCTTAAGATGTGCCATGTAGAAACCCGGAGATCATTTATGTACCCTTTATGTTGGTTTGTGTTTGCTTGAATTCCAAATACATGAAGGGTGCTGATATGTTTAAACTCAACTTTGATAACTTGAAAGGGAAGATGGGGATCTGTTGTGTGAACAAAAATTTATTAGGTAGTCAAAATATAGAGCTTCGGTTGGTCAGATTTTTGGTGTACTTGATTAAGACTTTTTTTTTAATTGCATAAATGAAAACCCAAGGCCTTTTAACAAAGTTATTTTCTTTATGTTTTGCTTGTGTTTAAGATCAGGATCGTGGAGAACAAAAGAAAGGTTTTCCTAGACTGTGTTGCTCATGATCTTCTAAGTGCTAGATAACTTAGTTCATTTTGAGTATTTTTAGTTTTAAATGTAATTTTTATTGCGATTTAAATATCATGTTACGATGGATAGATTTGCAGGTTGTAACTTTGTATATTCAATCATTGTATCTAATTATATTTATTTTAATTAGTTTGCAATTTCAATTTTCAATTTATTTTTTAATATATTTATTTTATTATTATATTTAGCTTAGTTTTGCTACTGAATCAGTTATGAAGCTTTGCAAAAGTGAATTAACATAAATTAACCAATGCCCTTTGGTTATGTTGGTTGTTGATTGATTGCAAATAAAACAGATGGAGGAAAGGGTAATTGTACACCGCTGTCTAGTTTTTGTATCATAGGACGTGCAATTGCATAGTCTCTTTAACCTAAACTGGAATAAAATTCATTTTTAATGACTTTTGTAAACGAGGATATGCAATTGCATACCATTTATGCAATAGTTGACCCTATATATGCAATTATTACCATTTGTACAAACAAATTTCACTCTCTTGCTTTCTCAAAATACACAAACTAGTGTAGATTTAATAAGCAAGTGAAACTTTTTCGGGTTTTTGGAACTCAAATGGTTTTTCAAGTTCTTGGAACTCAAATGGTTTTTCAGGTTCTTGTACTTGACATCAATATTTTAATCATTACCCTTCACATGGATAGTGATGAATCCAATTTCTTCACCTCACAAAGGTAAGACTAAGGATTAAAATACCGGCCGTGCAACATCGAGCCTCCAATTTATGGATATTTTGGGGGATATATCGTTATTGTTTTAGGTATCGAGAAAAAAATCAACAAAAATGACAGACAAATGCATTGAAATACATAATTTTGGTGTAAAATTTTCATAAATGTTATGTACATTATCAATGAATGTATTGAACAAATAAAACTCAAAATTTACTAATAATAAGATATACATATGATGAAATATAAGCGGTATGTATTACGTGTTAATGAAAAGTTTGAAAATAAAATGTTGATTAGAATGAATAAACCATGCATAAATTCATAGTTTGTTTAAATATTGGATTACAATTTAGACAAGTGTCCATCTGCATAAATGAAGAGCTCCTATGAGGTTCAAACAATGAGGAACAACCATCTAGATTCATACAATAGTCATACCAAGTCATGTAACCCGAGCAGTTTGTAAGTCATGTTTGAACATGGTGCACATAGGTCTATATGGGATAGTTAGGATTAATCCAACTAGTAGGCAGGGGCAGCCCTGGCATGGTGCAAGTGGGGCCACTGCATAGGGCCCCTGATTTTTGAGGACCCCCGAATATTTTTTTACTTTATATAATATATATTAATATTATAACAACTGTATATATACTCCAACGTGCAGCACATTGACACAAAAGTGTATTTAGTGGAGTTGGTTTCTAGTGCATATCCCTTGGTGCAAGGCCTAGGTTTGAGTCTTAGTTATGTGAATATATTTGTAATTTTATTCGCTTTTCATTGTAAGAACAAAAATTTGAAATAGTTTTAAAAAAGAAGCAGATGAACAATACAAGGGAAAAGATCCAATTAAATAAACAATAGTATATATCCCCCCCATATGCTTTCTCCTTTAAAAAAAAAAAAACTTTCTTCGACTTAAAACAAATATAT